TCTCAGATAATTTTATTTTATTTTTTATATTTTAAATATTTAATAAATGACTATTCTATCATTTACATACTTACAATAAGTTTCTAGCAAAGGTCTCAGGTAATTTTAATGTGCAGTCAAGCATGTGAACCTGCAGCTTGGACAGTTCCTTTCTATTAGGTAATCAGAAGAGAGTGCTATTATTGCCAGCCCACTGCTTATAGCCCAGCCACACATGGCCTTGTTAAGGAAAAAAAAAAAAAAACCTCGACTCCACCCTGAACACCAGAGTCTGATGGCCCATCCAGTGGTAGTTTCACTGACAATGGGCTTTATCACAATTGATGATACTTAAGATGCAGAGAGGATACTTTGAAATTGTACCAGTAGAACCAATGATCCATCTAAAGATTAACTGTGGATATGAAGAATTCCTAATCACTAATAGAATTCCCACTCCTGATAGTTCAGTGATTGTCAGCATGTAATTTTCAGACTAGCAATATCAGCTTAATCTGGGAACTTGTTTGACATTCAGGTTTTGTCAGACATTCAGATTCATCCCAAAATACAGAAGTACAAACTCTGGGGGTAAGGGTCAACAATCTGGGAGTACATGTTGGATTATTTCACTTATTAATTATATTTTTAATCAACTAATTAAGCTTTTAAAACATTTTTTAAATAACTTCAAATCCAGAAAAAAATTATAAGAAATAGTACAGACTAATCCTATTAGCCTTTGCTCAATTTTCCACATTGGTAAAGTCTTGTAAAACTATAGTGCAATATCACATTCAGGTTCATGACATTGATATAATCAAGCTACAAATGCAGAACATTTCTGTCACCACAATGATCATTCACATTTCTTTTTGTAGCTACCCACTTGCCCTCACCTACTCCTTAACCCCAGCAACCATAAACTTGTTCTACATTTTTACAATGTTGTCATTTCAAGAATGTTATACAAAAGAAATCATATAGAATATAACTTTTGAGAATTGGCCTTTTTTTAAAGGAAGCATACGGCTCATCTAGATTATTGTGTATTACAAATATGTTCCTGAGCATTACCAACTACTATTCCATGTGTGGATATGTCATAATTTGTTTAACCATTGGCCTGTTACAATCTCATTTAACAAGCTCTCCAGGTAATTTTGATGTATTCTCAAGGTTGACCACCATTGATGTTTAGACAAAGAGCTTTGAAAGACTGAGAAGAAATGGCACTGTTCTTATTTTTATTCCCATTCACTGATCTCATAGGTCTTCTAAAGGCATAGGAAAATGACTTTTTTTTCCATTTCCACCATTACTATTAACATAAGAAATTCCTGCTTACTACTAAGAAAATTGAATTATTAAGAAATATTTATTGAAGTACATTTTGACAACCACTCTAGGAAATGGGAATACAACAGTGGAAAAGGTACCTGCTCAAAAGTGGTTTTCACTCCAGCAGGGTCGGGGAAGACAATAAACAAAATCTTACAAATGAAGCCAGGTCCAAAAAAAATGCTATGAATACAGATAAAGCTAAGAAAAGTTTAGAGAATGAAGGAATTGAGGGTACCAATTCTGATAGCAGTTGGAGAAGGCCTCTGCGAGGAGATGCCATGAGATCAGTCAAATGAAGTGAATATGTACAAGAAACTTTAGCAGATGGAACAGCAAGTTTGTAAGTCTTGAGATGAAAACATTTTAGCCTATTTCCCTGGATAGAGAGGAAAGGAACAGTAGCAACAGATGAGATCAGGAATCACATGAGAAGGACTCTGGATTTTATTTAGCTTTGCTTATGAACATATGAAGAAATAGGAGGTATTTGAGTATGTTTTGATTCACATTTTTACAGGACTGCTTTTGTTGTTGTGCATAGACTAGGAAACACTGGACAAGGAAGAGCAGCTAGCTGCCTACTGCAGCTGTCCAATGAGAGTTAGTGGTGAGTAGGACAGGGTTGACAGTGGTTTGTACCATGCTAGGTGGCTGAAAACAGTAATCTTCTGGAGATTGAGCACACATGAGCAGCCCAAGGACAGAATATAGGGCATGAGAAAATAAGAATAATTTAACATGTTTTAACTCTAAAATGGATATTTTTAAAAAATGGGAAAATAGATATCATTTATTGAAATTAAAAATAGGTTGGGAAGGTTTAAATTAAGAGTGCAGAGCTAGATAAACCAAATTGGAGCTCATCCAACTACATGCTTAAATGTGGTAGCTAATGTGGAAATAGATTTTATGCTAAGGAAGGTGCACTCAGGCTAAAGAAAGGAGAAAAGTATTATTTATAATAGCAAAAAATTGTGGATACTCCAAAGATTCAGGAAAATGCTTATGTAAATTATAAACAATGCTTACATAAATTATTATCATAAGAAAATCCTTTTGCAAATTATTATGTACCCACTCCTTAACATTATGGAATCATTAAAAATTATGAATACTCAAGGCAAGAAACAACATACTAAAAATCAGGATACTGAATTGTACAGATGATATAATTTTATCAATGATAACATAATTTTATCAATATTTACAAAGAAGTTAAACTTTAGATAAATGAATAAAAATAATTGGAAGATTATAATTCTAATAATGACTATGTTAGTATAATGAATTCACAGACACTTCCTTTTTTCTGACTCTAATTTTTACTAAGTTTCTATTCACTTATCTATAAATACTTTAAAATAGTAATACATATGGTCAACAATCTGACATAGTAACTTTTATATACTTAGACTCAATAGATGGAGTAGCCTCAGGATAGAAAATCTGTTGAAGGCAGTAGAGCCACATTCCACATTATTTATTTCTACAAATCAGGAGAGTTCAGGTGGCCATGGTAAAGAAAAAGATCCTTTCAGGTCTTCTCAGGGTACTGACACCAAGTTTTATTATTCAAGCTGTGTCCCAAGTTTTGAAAAGTTGCAGGTTAAAGGTATCTAGCATCTCTGGAAAATTTGAATAATGTCACTATTCCCTAGAAAAATAAGAAATAAGGGAAGTGGAAATCATGTCCAGAATCATTTTGTAGTACCCTCTCAGCACTGTTAAAGGAATGGGTGCATCCTCTCATTAACCACAACAAGAATCAAAAAAGTTTTAAACAAAAAGATTTGGCAAGAATGCCAAAGTAGAACTCTTTGTGGTTTTGGTTTTCTAATATGTCTTTCAAATCCTCTTTATGGATTCTTTAAAAATTTTTTCACAAGTGTAACAATGATAATAAAATTATAAAAGCCACGTTAGTGGGATCTGGGAGGGCCACACAACAATGTTATTACAATGCAGTTCCTTGCCCTTATTGCCAAGGTTGAACTCTTGGAGAAAAGAATCCGAATCCAAACCAAACCAAACCAAAACTACTCTGCCTACATGGATCCAGAGTTTTTCATGCTCAAAAACAAAGTTAAGAATTAGAAGATAATAAAGGAAAACAAATTAGAAAATATGAAAAATGTCTTACAATAATTCCTTAATTTTACCTTCAGCACTCAGAACAAAACAGCATAGTTATATATTTACATTTCAATTCATAAAATAATTCAAAATGCTCATTAGGCTCTATCCTTTCCTAGGCTGTGGAAAGGACCAATAATCAAGAAACTTACTGAACCTATGAATGCTAAATTACTTGGCAGAGTAGTAGAAGAGACCAAAAGCAAAAGCCAATCTTAAATGTTGTTTAGAAGGACCATTCTGAAGTTACAGTCTTTTCTAAACCCTCATCTATGCAAAATCCTCTGCCTTTATTTTGAAGAAGGCACATCTGAAAGCTCTTCACTTTGGGTTCCTAACTGCTGTACCAGTACTTTTCTCGCTTCCTACCTGGGTACCCTGCTCTCTCTGCACCACTGAGGCTGGAGTTTAGGAGATGGGAAGAAGCATCAAACGGACATTTGATTGTTCATAAATTTCAATTAACAACAAGTATTTTTAAACTTTTGTTCTTAAAACTGTGTTACAGTGGGGATTATAATATTAAAGACCTTTTATTTGAACACTGTTGTAGAGCTGTTAACAAAACTGACAAAGTGGCTAATGTTTATTAATTACCTATGAATGCCAGTTACTGTTTTGAGTACTTTATATTTCAACCATCAAAACAACCTTTTGATGTTTATGCCATTATTATCTCCATTTTATAGTTGAGGAAATTGAGATGTAAGAAAATTGATCATCTTGCCAAGGATCTCAGAGAGATACGGGGCTAGGATGTGATATGGGAAAGGATTCAAACTCAAGTAGTCTAATCTAGAGTCTACACGTTTCTCTAACAAAAAAACCCTTGGAGAACTTATGATATTCACACTTATTTATCAACAATACCCATTAAGAAGGTCAGAATCTCCCTTAGTCCTTGACAGTTTCAACAGCTCACTTGGCATAGAACATATATCTTATTGAAAGTTTGGGTGAAGATAAAATCAGAAAGGTAAAAATGCAGACTACCACTGGACTCTGTAAACAGAGCTGGGAGCTGCCACTGACATATTCTATGTGTGCATAGTAGGAACAAAAGTGTTGCAAGGGACAAACATAAGGCAAGACAGCACAAGCAACGTTCTAATCTGTGTCCAGACATATGAAAGTTTTGACAGTGACTTCCTCAACAGGCAAAAGAAACTCCAAACACTAAAGCTGGGTTCACTTCTAAACCACATCTAGAACAAAATATCAGCTGTTAAAAATAGCCTCCAGATCTGCATTATCGATTAAAATTAACAATGTTAAATATTAAACATTTTAACAATGTTTAGAAATCAATTTCTAAAAACACAGACAATGGTTATGACTGGATGTACTCAAATATAAAGAAACATCATTGCACCTTTTTTTTTTAAGTCTAGTTATGTCTGCACAGTTTGTTACTATGGAACCACATGTGATGTCACAAATTTGACATTCTAAATGCAGAGCCAGACTGAGCATGGGAAGCAATAGGAAATGGAGCTGAAGAGACAAAATCCTGCGTAACAACAAGAGAATTTCAAGTTAAAGAAATGAGTCAAACATCTTTGAAACAGAAAAAGAAAGTGAGTGAACCAAATGCCTAGACCCTTACCAATAAGCTGAGGAAATGTAAATGTTAATCTACCCCTCACCTCAGGAAATGCCCTGCAGAAAACAAATAATTTCAGATAATGGCTCTATGTAGAGGAAAGCAGAGGTAGAAGAAAAGGAAACTAAGACAGGAAAACAATAGATTAACATTTACAGACTAACTCAATTCAGTAAGTCGGAGCTTCTTGAGCACATGATCTTAAATGGTAAGAAGTAAACACCCAATGTCTGTCTCTGAAGAATGCACAGCATAGAAAGACCAAGAAGAAACCCATAAAACAAAATTCAGTGCTCAGCAAAGTTTGGACAAAAGACACAGACAGTACAAACTTTACAGTACAGACAATGTTTACCTCTGTGATCTGCCCCCAGGCAACACTAAGCTGAATTTCAAAGATGACTAAAGGAAGAGGGCATTACAAGGAGTCCAGGGTGGCATGTGGGCAAATACAAGTCATTTGGCATCTGTAGAACCTGAAAGAGTTGAACAAGTTGGAGATGGACAGGAGTGCATTACAAGGCTCCTGGTCTGTCTAACCAAGTAAATAGTTTATCAGGAATGAAGCATAATCAGATTTACATTTTATAATAAGCTTGACAGACTTAGAAATGGGAAGGATTTGAGGCCATGAAATCCGTTCAAAGGCCATAATCTAAGAACTATGATAAGAAGCCTGCAATAAAGTAATAGTAAAGAGAGAGAAAGGAACTCTGCAATCTGTATATGGGGTAAAAATGGGAGTTCATAACCCACTTGAATCAAAGTGTGAAATATGATATATCAAGAAATTTGTAATGTTTTGAACAACCAACAATAAAAAATTTAAAAAAAGAAAGAAAAAATAAATAAATAAATAAAAATATCTTTTGGAGTTAGAAATGATAGGATATTATGGTGACTGATATGGCAGTGGTGATGAAAAGATTTTAGAATTAGTTTGAGAGCCATGTAGCTAAGTCATTCTCTGGGATCATATTCTTATTCAATTAACACTGATGACACATTCCTGGTCCAAGGCACACAGCTTAAATGGATGAACAGAGATGGCTTCTGAAGGACCTTGGTCTGATCTTCAAGTTAAGCTCCTTAAACAGATAAATGACACTAATCTTGGTCACATCAATGGTATTGAATTACTTGAAACAATGTAAACAGTTGCTAAGTTTCTCTCCCAATGGAAAATTAAGACATGAATGTTTGAATAGGTTTCTGTAGAGTGAGTTATCTTCTTTTCTCCCATGTGGTTTTCCTTATTAATTTTTTTAATAAGGAAATGCTCTCAATGCTGAAAGTAATTTGACAGTAAGAACAGAAAATGTCTGTAATAAATCTTTACAGAATGAAAGTTCTCATTATTAAGACTCATAATAATATTGTTGAGGCTCAGATACCCAGAACCCTGGCACTTGAATAATTAAGAAAACAAATAGGGAAGATGCTAGGGAGTGAGAATTATTAAACTATGCTATGTGCATATACGAATGCCATAATGTATCCCACTGTTATGTAAAATTACAATGCATAAAAAATAGCTGTTATTAATATATTCAAGGAATTTAAAGATAATTATACCATTAAAAAAAGGAAAATGAAAATGGAAATTTTCAATTCTATATGGCAAAGTGAAAAGTTCCATAAGTAGCAACTTTTAGAGGAAATGAAGGGGGGAAAAAACAGTTCTGTACAAACAAGGTCATATTTAAATCCAAACTCTGCTGAACCCTGGAAAATCCTCCCATAGCATTTCCCATGTAAGAATAATTAAGTGATAAATGTGTCAATATTTCAAACCTATGAACCAACAAATTTTTATAAAAATGATTTGTGTAATTCATATTTATAAAATGTGTTACTTTTATCCAGGCTTGTTAGAATGGGGAAAACATAAGGTCTAAAGTTCATACTTTTATATTAGCAAGGAGAAAAATTCTGTAGTTATCCTTTTATTCCCAAACCCAAAATTTCTAATGCCCCTGAGCTTAAAAATTAATAAGTATTTTTTTTTGTTTTTATATTAAGAATGAGAATGGGATGAGGCAATCAAAAGAGAGTCTAGAAGGAGAAAAAAGAAAGGAAACTGAAAAGTCGGGAGTTCGGCTAAGCAATCAGGTGAGCTGAACTCTGCGCCTTTGAGGAAAACAAGGAGCAGAAGGCGCAATGGCAAATTCCAAGAGGCAGGGGAATTCCTGGAGAGAAAACTGAGCTGCTGATATCTGTAGTAAGGGATAAGTAATGTCCTCATGAGAAGGCTAAGAACAAACTTAGGAGACGCGGACCTCATCCTCCCCTAGCGTCCACATCCGGCAGTTTATGCAGAATATGTGGTGTAAAAACTACAGCAGCCTCCTCCACTCAGCAGACAGGAGACTGGCCTCTGTCAGATCAGGGAGGGAATGGGAGTCTGGCCATCACATTGATCGTTTTCTGCACAATCTTTCAGATGAGGCATGCAGTCTATCCGAATCACCCGCTGAGATGTTGCCCCATGCGGGGTCACCCGTCGTGTAGACGCTGCCTTTGTGCAGTTGAGGGAACTAGCCCCTGCCGCACAATACGTATTTATATTCACGTGTGCCTGTTGTGGGAGCAGGGCCGGCAGATCACCATGATGAGGGTGAGCAGAGATTGCATGACCTGATTTGGGAGGGGAGCCCCAGGCAATCTGGGAAGGGGAAGGATGTGGGGAACAAAAACTCTTGGACTTGTCTCTCCATGGACTCCGCCCACAGGAAGGCCAGGGGGCTTTATGCCCTTTTAGGCGGTTACTTTAGAACCCTGCTGCAGACAAACACCGGCAAACCCATCAGGTAATTTTTCTAGTATGGACTCATAGATTATCCTTAAGAGAGGAAATGGGGGAAATGGAGGAAAGATGTTCAGCTGTACTAAGTATTATAAAAGGAGAATCATGGTTGAAAAAACAGGAGGCTATCAGACTTGGAGCCTTGGTAACTCAAGCTTCATACAGAAGTTAGGGTTGGGCCAGAGCTACAACAGTGCACAGGACTTAGGTTGAATTAAAGGTCACAGAGGCCAGGGGCCTTTTCAATGGTTGCTGTTATTTTTAGCCTGATATAACTATTCTGTAGGTATATGCACACAGAAGCAACAAGTGGTGGGGAAACACATCCTGGCTCTCTTATCTCCTTTAGGGATCCCAAGAATCATTGCAGAAGCCAGACTCTCGAGCAAGTGTGGTACGAAGTCAGTGGTCTAGGACATCTCGGAGCCCATCCACCAAGCCTCCATCAGTAGAGGAGTCAAGAAGCAGGAACACCAGTCTTAAGGTAAAACTAGAGATGAAAGGGTGGGGGGAAGCAAATTAAAAACAATAATGGTTTACATCTATTGAAGCTTTCTACATACCAGGCCCTATCCCTCTATACTTTGTTTTTTTAGTTAATTTAACTATAACAAAAACTCTCTCATAAGCTCCCATTTTATCACTGAGGAAATTGAGGAATCAACTTGCTGAAGGTTTCGTAGTAACTAAGTGGTAGAGGTCAGATTACAATTCAGGAGTTTCTATGTCTAGAGCTTGCACATTTTCTCTTACCTTTCTTCATCTATTCAACAAAAATTCATTGAGTACCCTTGGCTCTCAGAAGAGGATATAGAAAGGTTAAAAGACAAAAAATTAATCCCATTGGATTGTGTGTGCTTTGGCCCCTTAACTAGGCCTGATCACATAAGTAAAAGTATATGTATATACATGTATATGTATGTATGTATGTATATATATATATATATATATGTGTGTGTGTGTGTGTGTGTGTATATACACACACACATATATGTATATATAGATAATTTTTTTTCAGATGCAGAGAAAATAAATATCTAGTCACTGGAAGAATATGTATTCACACATGTATTCATTTATCTATCTCTGTCAGGCTGGGCTCAACAATCTCATCAAGAACTTCCCTTTGAGTTACATGTGAAACAATCATAAAAACTGTAAAATATATGGATGTGTAAGAAATTATTACACACCTTAGTAGAAAAGTCCCTTCTCAAGAATGGTTCCTACCTATTGAGGAAAAGGGTTTTCTGCTACTGAGCTGCTGCAGGTTACTGTAAAGGCAGTGAAAGGTATTTGCTTCCCCAGTCTTAGCTCCTGCATTATTCACATGGCAAATAGGGAGACAGGCCCTCTCTATGCCAGGTGAAGAGTTCTGGTAGGAAGGTCTGGCCCAGCTTGCACATGGAGATAACTAGAGGCCACACAGTGAGGTACTGGCCAAGCAAGATCTGTTACTCAAGGTCTTTCAGAGGCCTCTGTCTAGGCAGGTACATGGCAGGCAAGGGCAGAACCTTGCAAACTGTGTGCCACCTGCCTGAGGGTGAGGAAAAGGACCTATATCTTAACTACTTACAACCAAAAAAGGTGATGCTGCCAGATGCATCTGTGAGGTGCTGATGGGGAAGCTAGGGGACAATGAAAGCAGTGTGTGTCTATTTAACAGAAATATGAAATTCCTAATGACTAGAAATGCCTGACCCCTTTAGGGTCTATTTAAAGGAGCTTAGATGAACCATGATCCCTCTTAGACCAGACCAGACAAAATAGACAGCTTTCCTTTATCAGAGTTGGGCTGAGATGGGGATAAGGATCTGGATGAAACCTTGAATCCAGGCACCAATTTTCTTGCTCTAGCTCCAAAACAGCTCCACAACCTCCCGAACTTCATGTACTTCCCCCAGCCAGGAGGACTCTCCACCACCACAGGCTTCGCCAGAACCCTCTCCACCAATGCCCAAAACGCAGCCAGAGCCAGAAATGCCTCTCGAATCGCAGCCTCCCACGCCCCCCGAACCAGAGTCCAGCCAGAGGCGCAAGAAGTACGATGCTCCCGCACTCCCAGAGCCAGAGTCCAGCATCAGGTGCAAGAAGTATGAGCCTCCAGAAGCCTGGGCTCAAAGCTTTGGGCGTGATGTCCGCGATAACCGGAACACTCTGGCGCGGGACACACCCAGCGACTCACGAGACTCGCACGTGCAGCCGCGGGAATATTCGCGCCCGACTCCCACCGAGTGGAAGGCCTATTCCCAGCTTCGCACGCACTACCCTACCTCCATCCAGATGGATCTCGACTGTATGTCGGAAATGCAACAGCAGAAGCTGCAGGAGGAAGACGAGATAGATGAGGCGTACTGGGCATCCGTGAAGCTGCTGTACGAGAAAATCCCCAGTTCCTCGCGCCCACGGCCGGTGAGCAGGCCCCCAGTGCAGGTACCCCAGGAGTGCCTCCTCCAGCCCCACAACCTCCCTCTAGTCCATTGCATAGCCAAGTCAGTTCAGGTTCTTCCCACCCCACTGGCTCCTGTGCAGTCCCTCTGTCTGTTGATATCTCCTCCTGTCCTTGCCCTTCTTTGCAGCCCAAACCCAAGAACGCCATCACCATCGCTGTGTCATCTCGGGCACTCTTCAACATGGTGGATGACAGGAGAATCTATGAGGAAGAAGGTCTGGAAAAGTACATGGAATATCAGCTCACCAATGAGAACGTCATCCTGACTCCCGGGCCCGCGTTCCGCTTTGTCAAGGTACTAAAGATGTCTGGCTCTGCCAGGACCTTGGACTGTGAGAGAAGGACCAGGGCCCACCTTTGGGAACTCTACCAGTTCCCCCTACATTTTCTGGACGATTTTTGTCACGTTCCTAGGTCCTTCTCTCTACCTACCCCCAGAGATAATTCTAGTAAATTGAACATTATAAAAAATGTTAATGTGCCTTACCTATGATTATTGCCCCAGTTGACCTTAGGTTTTCACTTATGGGACTTTAGCCCATAGTCCTAGATGTGGGACGTTGCCTTTCCTATTAAGAAGCAATAATGAGTTTATAATCCTGAGTAGAAATAAAACATCTTATTAAAATGGGATGAAAGTCACTTTAGCTGCTCTGGTCACAAAAATAAAAATTAAGAAAATGAAGATGTTTCTGGTACTGAGGGGCATGATCATTCACTGAATATATAGCACTCATAACAGATCCTCTGTGTAATTTACACAGTTATTACACAATAACATAGCCATGCAAAAACAAATGACACCTCTAGGAGTTGTAGGTAGAAAGAACTTATGGAACCCCAGTAGAAGCATGAGAGGAAATCCCAAACCTAAAGACCCATGTTTTAAAAATAATATTCCCTTGCAGTAGGTATGGTAAAATTGGAACACACAGAAGATGATCATTGTGGCGTCTGTACAAAATTATGTATAAATTCCTAAAGCGTTCCATATTTTTCACATTAAAAAAAAATAATGGTTAGATTATCATAAGGGCAGATTTTACAAATTAAAACAAACAAAGCATAAAAAAGGTTAGCCTGATCCTTCTATCTATCCCCCAGAGATAATTCTAATAAACTAAATGTGTGATGTTTGAACACATTAAATGTGAACATTAACAGTGGTCCTATGTATGGGAGGTGGAAAATACAGAAATGAATGGTATAAACTTGACATGAAGGAGCCATAATCTCTTAGTGAAGACTCTTCAAAGCTTGAATCTGATCCTGATGAGGTGCTTCCTCTCCAGCCTCCCAAGGCCCACCTTGCCTGTGCCTCTTTACTTACATCCTTGTTTATAACCTGCAGGCACTGCAGCATGTCAATGCTAGACTCCGAGATCTGTATCCTGATGATCAGGAATTATTTGATATTGTACTGATGACTAATAACCATGCCCAAGTGGGAGTGCGGCTTATAAACAGCGTCAATCACTATAGTAAGTAAAATAAATACCATGTGGAAGACCAGCTCATAGCTTTGGAAGAGAGAAGCCATGTTATTTTGCTAAACTGTGGCCTAACCAATGCAGTATCTTTGATACCGACACCCCCTCCTGAGTGAGGAATGTTTATTTGCCTATGTCAGAAGCAGAAAGGCCATGTTCATTTTTAACTTCAGCACAGAGTTGGGCTCAAAGCTCTGGACTTAACTTGTCAAGTGTGAATTTCAAAGTCTTAATCCCAGGCCCTGCAATATATTTCTGTTTTATGTTTTTCACTTCTGAACTTGACTTCAAGGGGCCATCAACCCAAAAGCTTTCTCTGCCTGATCAAACTTCTTGTTCACCACATATCCATGTTAAGGGTTTAAAGGTTTTCACCTCTCCTTTCCTCTTAAAAATCTGATTCTCCTGACTGTTCTCTCTTCCATACATCAAATCCATACTCATGCCAGTAAAAGTGTCTTGATTCCTTTACATGGAAAATTTGATTTGCTCTAGTCTCCAGAGCATTTCCATCAGTGTATCACTTTTTCCTAAAGTTTCCATTTTCCTTACTTTGAAATTATCTGACTTTTTATTTGGTGTACCACTATCCATTTTTCTAAGGGATAGATCCAGTCTTGTTGGCATGTTAAGTCAAAATCAGGTTTAAATTGTATACTCTTAAATTTTAGGTTTAGATTGGGCATATTTATAAATAATCAAAATATATTTTGGGTTAATTACTGGGTTTAAGTTATTGTGTTTTATTTTATATTACCCTAATTATAAGATTACTATCTTACTGAGACATAGTTTTAAAATTTTTCCTTTTAAAAAATGCAGCCTTCATAGAATTAAGAATGAAAAGAGAAAATGTATATAAAAGATTTAGCATAAATGAGTGGCATACAGTAATCATTCAAAAAATGAAAAACTACTATTTTTAAGACACGTGGTCTTATTTGATTTAGTAGGTGATATAGGTTTATCCATCCCTCACCACATTGAGTCTGCTGAATTTGGAAGCATAAGGAATCAGTTATTTAAATATGAAATCTCCCAATGAGCCAATTGTGCACAACTTTTTCATGAAACCTTATTGATAAACTAACAATTTTTCTCCAGAATTAGTTAGTACTTTATCTGCTGTGGTCTTTGTTATAACTTTTTACATACCCAGCTTTTCAGGAAACTGTGATCTCCTTTTGAAAAGGAACAATATTTTAATCATTTCTGAAAACCTAGTGTCACCAAATATTTTCTGGATCATTAAATTAATAATTTACACATTTGTAGGGTCTGCTTTTGTGTCACTTATACCCAGCATTAGTTCATGTGAAAAAGTAAAAGTATTTTCTTAGCATGAAAGCAGCCATACTTCACCCCTACTGTTGATGGATCCCACCCACTCCCTTTGACCCTACAGTGTAAAACAGCTGACTCAACTGATAGCTTACTTTATATTGCATGCATCTACCCAGCTTCTTATAGATCTACAAAAGACTCTGAATAGATATATAATATTTTATTATATGCATGATATTATACTTCACCTAACTATACTCACATTATTGAACATGTTTTGCTTTCATATATAACCCTGAGCTAAGTAGGGAATATAGCTCAGTGGCAGAGCACTTGCCTAGCATGCTCCAAGGCTGGATTCAATACCCAGTATCACAAAGAACAAAAATGAATAACCCTGACTTAAGATCTTTTAATATAAATTTTTATCAGTATTTCATATTATTTCCTTAGGATAAACACCTGAAAGAAAGGAATCCTAGGTAGTATTTCAGACTTCTAAAAGCTCTTAATAGGTATTGTCAAATTAACTTTCTAGAAAAATTAACCAATTTATTCTTTTATCCATAGTATTAGTGGCTAGATGTCTATTTTACAAACTTATCACCAATAGGCAGTGTATTTTTAATTGTTGATATGAAAGGCATTTAATAGTATATAAATGTTGAGTCTACTAATAATTTCATTAAAAGTTTCAAGTCAGAAAAGAGTGACAATTTCAAATATTTTATTGTTCTTGGAAAATAGTTTAAATCCTAGCATTATTTATTATTACTATTGTATTGCTACTGAAGAATGGTACTTAAAATAGAGCCATACTTGATGACCCCTTTTTATCAAGTAAGGAGGTCACAATGCAACAAAAAGAGCACACTGCTGTAGTCTAAACAAGAGGCAAATACCTCAAGTCTGCCCTATGCAAGTGAATGGGTGGGTTAGACAGGTCTTTTTGTCTCATTATCCTTTTCTGTGATAAGGATAATATCTGGCATGCTGTTGTGAGAATAAACCAGCATGTTCTATATGAAAATGCTTTTAAAAAACTATAATACATCACAAAACATTCCCTATTTTATAAAATACCTGAGAAAAATTTTCAATATTAATGCTATGAAAGTAATTTTAAACTTTAATTATTTCCATAGTAATTTTCATTTAGATGTACAAATGAACTTACTTGGATTTAAAAATAAACTCAGTTATTCGTAAGGTAACTTTCATTGATTTACAGTGAATGGTCTTTAGTCTGGGTCATAACAAAGTTTTTCTTGCCTAATAATAGGCCTACTAATTGACCGCTTCTGTTTGACTGGTGGAAAAAGTCCCATTGGCTATTTGAAGGCATATCTTACCAACTTGTATCTTTCTGCGGATTCTGAAAAAGTCCAAGAAGCAATACAAGAAGGTATTTTAACCTTCTAGTTAGTAAAGAGCTCTGCACTGATGATTCACACAGGATGATGTGGCTTAGGTCTTGGGTCGTCTAAGGCGTTTCCACACTTGGAAGCCCTTATGCTTGTCCTTTAGAGCTCTGACTTTCCTGGAGGTGGGGGGGACCTCCTTAGTGACTGACCCACAATCTATTTTGTACTTCCCACTCCTATTGAAACAGGTAATGATAGGCCTCTGTTCTGAGATGTGTGTTGGTGGAGAGGAGTTGTCTCATCAGATAATAGCTAGAGAGGAAATGAGGTTGGGAGGGCATTTGTTTTCGTTTGGTTTGGGGTTTGTTTTTGGTTGGTGGGAGAAACTAAAACTCATGGCCCTACAGAGTATTAATAGATCCCCATGATCTGTCAGGTATTGCCTCTGCAACAATGTTTGGCGGAGCCAAAGATATGTCTTACTGTGACACACAGCTCCGTGTGGCCTTTGATGGGGATGCTGTCCTCTTCTCTGATGAATCTGAACAAATTGCCAAAGAGCACGGGCTGGACAAATTCTTTCAACATGAAACACTATTTGAAAATAAGCCGCTTGCTCAGGTAGGTACATGAGCTCTGATTAATTTTGATGTACTGATTTTCCAACATAAGGATATAAATATTTGTTCATTATGATAGCTTTTTAAATTATTTTTGGCAGTCCCTTCTTCCCTGTTTCGTCCTTGCAGTTTTCTCTTTTCATCTGGGAATTCCTCACTTTGAAGCATCCACTGCTGACATTTTTTTTTTTAATTTAAGAGTCTTTTAACTATCTTTTAGAAATACTTCTGTGATCATCCCATGATAATGAGTTCACCCCCTCCAAATTATGAGTGACAGAGGAAACACCACCCACCAATACACATTTCCACATAATAGATTCTCAAAATATTAAGATAATTTCTACTAGATCAGTAAACACTTGTTTCTCTCAAAAAAGACATCACTTAATTGAGAAAATAACAAGACTAAGAGTTTGAATTGAATCAAATATGAATCTCAAAAGTGCAAATTGTGAATACTTAATCAAACTGAAAGTAAATATTTACATTTCAAGAACCCATCCATGAACTGAAGTGTTAAAATCAATATACGAAATGAAAAAACCTACAACGTCTGAACCAAAGGAAATTGAAACATCAAATCATTCAGTTTCATGCTATGATTCTTCAGTCATTCAGTTTTTCTTTTTTTTTCCCTCAGTTCTCTTTGAACCTTAATAATCTTAAATATTGTTATTTTGGCTTTCATGAATAAAACTATGAATGTACTGTTCAAAAACTGAAAAGTTTTACTATTTCGTAACCTCACACTAGGGAAGTGATATTTAAATTATGATAAAGTCAGTTTTATCAATTTGTTCTCACAAATTTCGCTTTCAATGTGTTATCTAAGAAATGTTTGCCTAAATCCAGGTCACAAAGCTTTGTCTTCTCTGTTGATGTACAGAAGTTTTATAGTTTTAGGTCTTACAATCATGATCTCTTTTGAGCTAATATTGTGTTGAAATAAAGTATTGCCTGTAGTTTATTTTCTCTGCTTATGGATACACTGATTGTTCTAGCACTATTTGGTGAAAAGGCTTTCTGGTCTGTTCCTTTGATATAAGTATTCATCTTTTCATCAATACTATACTGTCTTGATTATCATAGTTTTAGAGTAAGTCTTAAACTCAGTTGGTATGAGTTCTCTGACTTATTTTTCCAAAACTGTTTTTGATAGACTGACTCCTTGCATATTCATACAGATTTTAAAAGCTCTTATCTATCTTGGGGTGGAGGGGAAGTCCTGTTGTAACTTTCATTGGGTTTTTATTGAATTTATAGCTAAATATGGGGAGAACAAATACTTCAAAAATATTGAGTATTTTGGTCCATGGATGTGGTATATCTCTCCATTCATTTAGAATTTTTAAATTTCTTTATTTCATAGTGTTTTATAGGTTCCAGAATACAGATTTTGCATATTTTGTTAGTTCATACCTATACATTTTATGTTTTGATCATACTATAAATTGGTACTTTAAAAATATTTAATGTCCAATAATTTATTGCAGAGACACAATAGATTTTTGTATGCTGACCTTGTAACCTACAGTCCTGTTAAAATTGCCTTTTTAGTCATAACATTTTTGTAGATTATTTGAGGTTTTCTTTTTTTTTAAAAGAGAGAGAGAGATAATTTTAATATTTATTTTTTAGTTTTCGGTGGACACAACATCTTTGTTTGTATGTGGTGCTGAGGATCAAACCCGGGCCACATGCATGCCAGGCAAGCGCGCTACAGCTTGAGCCACATCCCCACCCCCTTATTTGAGGTTTTCTAAGTAGGCAACAATGGTGACTATGAATGAAGACAATGTTGTTTCTATCTTTCTATGTTGTATGTTTTTTCTTTATCTCTTCTGCCTAATTACCTTGCTAGTCCATCCAGTGCAATGTTTAATGATAGTGATGAGAGTGGAACTCCTTGACCTGACCTTAGGGGAACATCTTTAACTCTTAAGCATGTTAGCTATAGGTTCTTTTTAGATCCCTTTGTCAACTTGAGAGAGTTGCCTTCGATTGCTAGTTTTTTTTTATTTTTTGTAAGTGGATGTTGGATTTTTGTATGTATTGAGAAAATCATGTGGTTTCTCTAGTTTATGGATATATAAATTACATTGGTGCATGTTAAATGTTAAAGCAGTTTTGCTCTGTTGGTATAAACTCAGGTTGTCATATGATATTCCTTTTTATATACTGCTGGATTCAACTTGCTAAAATTTAGATTTTTCTTTGCCTTCATGTTCATGAACAATATAGTTCTATAGTTTTCTTATAATATCTTGAACTAATTTTGGTCAAAGAGAAATGCTGATCTCATAAAAATAATGCAAACTATTTTAAATATTTGGTAGATCTTTCTAGAGAAGCCATCTGGACCTGGATTTTTCTTAATAGCTACAGAGCTATTATTCATATTTTCATTTCCTTTCTTCTCTGTGTTTATGAATTTGTGTCTTTTAAGGAATTCATCAGTTTCACTTAAGTTGTTTTTATGAACATAAAGGTTTTTTATATTTTCTTTAATTATGTACAGGATCTTTAGTGACGTGTCCCCTCTCTCATTTCTGATATTAGTAATTAGTATCTTCATTTCTTTGTTGATTTATTTGGTCACTCTCACCAGAGATTTATCAATTTTATTTATCTTTTAAAATGAACCAGATGTTTCTAAGATTTTTAATGTGGAAGCTGAGGTCACTGATTTGAGACCTCATTTTATTTCTTATGAAGTTTCCTCTATACACTGCTGTAGTTACATTCCCTAAATATTGGTAAGTGGTATAATTTTCATTCAGTTCAAAATATTTTTTTTTAATTTATGTCTTCCACTCTTATCCTTTAGCTATTTAGAAGTAGATTATTTAATTGTCAAATATTCTGAGTTTTTCCAAATATTGGTAGATTATGCACAATACACTCTCGAGCAATATGATACCATATCATCTTTGTATAAGATAACATATCATCTTTGTATAAGATGACAATGTACCCCCAAAACACTATCTAACACTCTACCATATTTGTAGCATTGAGTTCATACATTTTATCTATAAACTCTCAAAACCCTGTTAGCTACTTTTTATTCTGGTAATCAAATATCTTTGAGTGAATAAGGATAAGACAAAAATATGTCTTTTATATTCATATTATTTTAAATATTTGCACGATCACCTTTTCATATTTCATGTAGGAAAAATCTTCTGGTAATGAATCTTATTTTCCTTTGCTTGAAAAGTCATTTCTCCTTATTTTTAATAACATATTTTATTTTCACAGGATTTAGCATTCTGGGTTTACTGTATTTTTTCTTTCAGCACTTTGAAGATGTCTTTCCATTGTCTTCTAATGTCATTCTATATAGGTTCTGATAACAAATTTTCTGAAATTTCTACCTGTGGTCCTCTGTATGTATCCATTTCTCCCTGGCTGCCTTCAAGATTTTCTGTGTATTTTTTATTTAGGCGGTTTAAATACTGTGTGTGTGTGTGTGTGTGTCCCACAGAATTTCAGTGTTTTTCTCTCTTTCTCTCCACCCTTTTATTCATTTTTTTAAGTCTGGGTAATTTCTATTCATCTATTTTTTCAAGTTTATTCATTCTTTTCTTAGCCATGTTGAGTCTACTAGTATATCCATTAAAAGTATTCATTTCTGTGAAATCATTTTTATTTCTAGAATTTCGCTTCAACACTCTCTTTTCCTCATGCATGTTATATACTTTAAAGCAGATGCTGAGATATTAATTATAGTCTCCTTCAGTTGCTTCTGTTATATTTATGACATTTGGGTCATCACAAGTCTAATCTTTTTTATTTCTCTTAAAAGAGAATTGCACTTTCGTTTTGTTCAATTTTTTGTGGTCTCATAAAATTTGATATTACTAATTGTAGTGTATGAATGTGAAGACTTTTATGAATAACATTTTTGCCTTGTAACAGTTATTCTTCCTCTTCTACTAGAAACTATTATGATATATTGAATCAATGTAATCAAGAGTTAAGCTGGTTTTAGATATTGTGCTATGATTTTCTTCACTGCATCACAGGCTTCAAATTTTTCTAGTATTAAATGTGTTCTAAAGATGCAGCTAGGTTTGCCCTGAGGGTTTTCTGCTGTACTTTCAGCTTTAGGCCTTCTCTATAAGTCTGTGCCTCAGATGAATCTACATTCCCAGCTGTTGCTTCTTTGTCTCTCTGCCTGCTCTGTCTCTCCTAGGACTCTAAGGACAAGGACTTTGCCTTTCCCCCAGTAAAGGAAGATGCCTAATGGTCTGGGTCTATGATAAATTCTTCTGCCTCCCCCAGGAGTAGAAGATTTTTCCTTTACCCTTTCCCAGTCATAGTAGATCTTTACTTGTGCCCTGGAGGATAACATGTTTAAAGTCTTTCTAGTAGTGAAGCCTGTTAGTCCTTGGAATATAGGCACTAGGTAGTATTTCAGTCATTTCTCAAAGTGGCTGCTCTGCTCTTCCAAGGCTGTACCACCAAAGATGGCTTTCTTCTGTCTCCTACTCTGCCTGAAATCTTTCTCATAAACACCTAGGCAAGTCCAGGCAGTAAAGCCTTGATAAAGTGTGTACTGGTGTCTGTGCATCACACAGCTTCTGTACTCATGATTCCATCCTTTATTAATGTGTTTTCTAAATCACCTGAATTTTTCATTCTTGCTTATACAGTGTCTGCTATTTCTTCCCTCAATGCTCTGCCATGGGTGTAGCAGTTCTTTCATCCCATCTTTACTTGGAAAGACACCCGTTTTTCCTTAGATTCCATGGTAGTTGGTGCCGTTTAATATTAGCTCTCTTATGCACTGAAGAAAAGTTACAATACTTTCAGATTGTCAGGTGTTTTTCTTAAAGTAGGAATAGTCCTTTTGGCTTTCTACATCTTAGGTAGATTCCCAAATATTTTAAATCATACATCTCCTCAAAAAAAGTATTTTTAATAACTTTGCCTAATAGTCTCACATTTTATTCATAAATTATATGCTTTTAGTAGTGAACAAATATATAGATTATAAAACATACACAAAAATAGAAGTAAAAGAGAATGAGTAGATAACTGGTTTGAATATGGTTACACAAATTCAATATTCCCATTTCATTCCTTTGGAAAGTATTCAGTGTAACAAGAATAGTGTGCTTCTGAGTATCAAAGACAAACTGTGACCACAGTGGCTCCACCAATTTTACTGTATTTCCCAAATAAAAGGAAAAAGAGTCACAGTTTTTCCACTTATGCTTCTAACCTTTAGAAGTTAAATTTACTTGCTTATTCTGATATATGCAGCCTCAGAGGAAGGTAGAACCAAGTAAATATTAATATAAGAGGTCTTGTTTCCAGATAACATTTGGTTTCCTAAAAACAGAAAAGGAAACCTTTGAATTGTTAAAAAGTCAGTCTCCCCAAACCACCAACAGTTCCAAGGAAAACCCATCTACTTTGGTATAAATAATAAAAAGAGAATACAAGCAAAGATGCCAGGAGAAAAAGGCAGATCAAAAAATAACATCATTTAATAATAGTGGATGAAGAATTTTCACTAGGAAAAGTTTCCATGGTTCAGGTGAAGATAGTGAGAATTTGCCACAACAAAAACTTTAATATAAAGCAGAATCATAAAATATAAATGAAATGAAATAATCATGGAAAGAGATGATAAAATGTGAAATGTAGAGTGCCAAAATGTGCCAATGTGAGTAGAATTGAAAATATTTTAGAGAGAAAAATGGCAGAAAAAGATCCCAGGGAAAGAAAGTCCAACATATGCATAAGTGGAATCCCTGAAGTAAAACATTGAAATTACTGAGTGAGGTGTGGTTAAGTAAAGATCAAATTTATATAAAATACAAATCAAGAAAACATTCTTGTGATATCAGATTTTAAAACATACATTAATTATTAAATTATTAGAGATATAAGTTCGTGTTTTCTGATAGGGAAATAGAGCATCACTGAGATAGCCAAATTAAATTATTTGATTTCAAAGAATAATAATTATTTGGGCTGTCTGCCCATAGACAGACCAATCAACATAAGTGGTGGGTGGGTGGGGATAGTTATTAAGCTTCCCTCAGACTTTTCAACAGCCACACTCCATAGCAAAAAAACTACTTATTAGATCTTATATATACACAATGGAATATTATTCAGCATTACAAGAGAATAAAATTATAGCATTTGCAGGTAAATGGATGGAGTTGGAGAATATAATGCTAAATGAAGTAAGTCAATCCCAAAAAAACAAATACTGAATGTCTTCTCTGATATAAGGATGCTGATTCATAATGGGGATTGAGGGAGGGAGCATAGGAGGAATAGATGAACTTTAGATAAGGCAAAGGTGAGGGAGGAGAAAGGGTGGCATGGGGATAGGAAAGATGGTGAAATGAGACAGACATCATTACCCTAAGTACATGTTTGAAAACACGAAGGGTGTGACTCTACCTTGTGTTCAACCAGAGACATGAAAAATTCTGCTCTATTTGTGTAATATGAATTGAGTTGCATTCTGCTGTCACATATTACAAATTAGAATAAATAAAATAAAAAATTTTAAAAATTTAAAAAAAGGTCTTATGGAGAGAAAATATAAATCATGGAATCTACATCTAGTCAAAAGCTGAAGTGCAGAGCAAACCACCAAAACAGTTGAAAACACACTAAATTCTCAAGGATTATTTCCATGAAATTTTTCTAGAGAAAACTAGTAGAATAGGACAATTTTTTTCCAACATGTGGATGAATGGATGGAGTAAAGCACAAATGGGCATAGAATATATTTAACCATAGATTTAAAGGTCTGCAGGGACTAGAATAATGGCAAAAAAGGTATGTGTGGGGGGGCTAATATTATGTGTCCTAACAATGCTGTAATTATATAACCAATGAGAAATAAAAAAATATATGGAAAAAAGAAAGTCTACAGAATATTAAGTATTCTGATGTTTTCATCTATAGTAATCAAAGAATAAAAATGTGAAGTTGCTAAAAATAAAGGAATATTTGATAATGTAAATGTAAACACTGAGAAAGATTAATTAAATGACTAAAAATTATATGATGGATAAGTAGAGGATTGGATAAATATTGAAAAAATACTCTAATTTCTTTATTTCTCATCATAAAGTATAATAAACCAAGGATTTTAAAAAATAGAGGACTGAGAGTCCTAAAATGTGACCAGTAGAAGATAATTCAAAGCTTCTAATGTTAGAGAAACCATACATATATACATACAAAGGATAAAGACATTTAATGAATAATCTTTTAAAATTTTCAGACTTAGAAAATGTAATAAAATTACAAAATAGAACCCATATAAAGCATATTTCTAATATGAATAAATGTAAAGGGATTAAAACTCATCTATTGTTAAAAAAAGACTTCCAGATTTGATCACATAGCAAAATTCAGTTCTATTCTCTATTCAAGAAATATAGCCAAAACTATTCAGAAAGGTGGAAATGAAAGTAGGTATGAAAATATACAAAGAAACTATAAGACAAGGTTGGATTCAGGCCAAGATTTTAAAAAAAAAAACAACATTATGCTAGACAAGTGAGTATACTTTTAAAATATGCAATTCTGAAAAATTTAAATCAGTGCTTTTGGCAACCAACTAAAGTTAATTTAGAGTGTGATCATCTATAACTCTTTGCCACAAATAGTTTATGTCTATTGTCCTGGTTTAATTATTATGGAATGTTTCTTTCACGTGTTAAAATATCTTTTTTTATTTTTTTTTTAGTTGTTGATAGACCTTTATTTTATTTATTTATATGCAGTGTTGGGAACCAAACCCAGTGCCTCACACATGCCAAGCAAGTGCACTACTGCTGAGCCACAGCCCTAGCCCTAAAATAGCTTGACTTAGATGATAAATCATATGGTCATCCTATCTTAATTCCAGGAATGCAAATATGGTTGCATATAAGGATATAAATTTACATAAAGCAAGTTTTTAGCATTATTCCTTCAGCCTAGTAACACTGCATGTCATGTACTATTAGATTAGATCTTTGTATAAGCTCTTATAAGCCTCTGATATTTCAGTGATGACTTCCTTTGGTTCACTAGTTTACAGCTGTGACATATGTTCCTTTCACAGGGTCCCTTGAAAGGCTTTCTGGAAGACTTAGGCAGACTGCAAAAGAAGTTTTATGCCAAAGATGAACGGTTACTTTGTCCTATCAGGACCTACCTGGTTACAGCCCGAAGTGCAGCCAGCTCAGGTGCCCGGGTGCTGAAGACTCTTCGCCGCTGGGGTCTAGAGATAGACGAAGCTCTTTTTCTTGCGGGAGCCCCTAAAGGTCCCATCTTGGTGAAGATCCGGCCCCACATCTTCTTTGATGACCAGATGTTCCACATTGAAGGGGCAAAGAAATTAGGCACCATCACAGCTCATGTACCTTATGGAGTTGGCCAAAAATACCACACTTAGCGATGAGGACAAGAAAAAGAACAGTGACATTCTAGTATTACAGAGGAAACTTCCTTTGGATGTTTAGAGTAATCAGGTATTTTAGAAGCTTGGACCTAAAAACTAGCTCCTTTTGGAAGTTTCCTCTTCATGTTCTGGGGCAACATTTTCAACTATCAAGTAACCTTCAAGCTACTTCTCTTTGTCAATGCTGTTGAATGCCATTGCACCTGGCTTTGTGTAAATCATGATGACTCTTTAGGATAAATTTTGAATTTGAATACTTGAATGACTAAGGGGCTGTTTCAGAAACTTTCTTAGTTTCACAGAATAATGCTCATTTTTGTTCTGTGACATAGTATTTACCTTCCTTTTCTTTCATTTTTGGAATTTGGTACATAGAATGAATTGTTATCCATCATCACCTTAGATTAGTGGTTTTCAAAGGTGGAATGTGTTTTAAGTATACTCTTGAAAAACAAGTCGAAATGAAAATGTTACTCTCTACATGCATGAGTTTACCAGTTTTGACACTTCATTTGGAAATAAAACAGCTGACTATATAAGCTTTGTAAGATAGGGCACTTTGTAAGACAAGTTCTAGACACAGCCTACTGAGAAGGGTTCTTTGAAACTTTCTTAGTGAGTTAATTGCCTCTGAACTATAAAACTTCATATTCAAAGACTCCTGCTTTGGACTAGGCGAGTTGGGCCAATATTCGTGTGGGGGGGGGCGGAAATTGGCCACCACTTCAAAATGTGTCATGACATGTTGTATCATGGCCTCTGCCATTCTGTTATAATTTTTGTCTTACTTTCATTAACATTTGATTGGTTAGTAACCATAATATACCATATGTTAGGGATAGTGAGCTAGTGATTTTTGTATTATTTTCTTATCAAATTAAATGTTTGTTACATAGTATTATTACCTTCCTTTTCTTTCAATGAGGAACTTAAAATTCAAAAATAATAATTAGCTTGTCCAAGGATGTGAAGCTAATAAGTGGTAGGACCAAAATTCAAATTCAGATATTTAAGTCATGTGTTTCTTTCTTCTCTGTTACACATTATTCAAAAAGAGCTGTCATTATTTCCATTGCCTTTGGATTAGTCACTCAATAAAGTTCCAGGCATAAGCCACACAGCAGTTACATAACAAATCTAAGGATTATTTTCTTCCTCTTGTCCTCATACTCTTTCCTGCTCTCTCTATGCCTACCTCCATCTCTACTCTTCCTTCACATAAAGATTCCACCCTGGCTCTAGTTGAGAAAGACCACAGGTGGCACACATCTTTTAATCTTCTCCCTAATTTGTTGAAAACCAGTACAAAGTATATTAGTTGTGACACATTTTGAGCACTTATATCCTTTAGGAAACTGAAAGCATTAACAGTATTGTAGAGGAAGTCCAATGTGGGAACTCAAACAGCCAACACAAGAAGGCTGTTTGTCCTTAGTGCCAATGAGGGTCACACATGAAATTGAGGAAGCAGAGATCCATAGAACCTGGAACTGGTCAGGAAGAACAGACCTGAAATGGCCTTTGAAGGATGGGCAAGATGTGGACAGGCAAAAAGGAACAGAAAGAGGAAACAGATGTGCTTGGGGCTGGGCATTTAAGTGACAGCTTCATATTGGGAAGAAGAAGGGGCCACCTCTCCTGATTCCTGTTCCAGATGCCTTCTATAATCCACAGCGATAGTGGGAAGAATCCCACCACCAAGCCTTCCCACCTCTTGAGTTCCATTCTCAGTATGTAGAAAGTCACCTTCTCCTGGAATTTATCTATGTTCTCTTTGTATTATGACTATTAGATGCATGTGATATCCTTTCCAGATGTAAGTGAATGATGGTTGGCTTATTAAAATCAGCTAGGGAGGTTATTTCAAACTACACAGGTTGTTTTTTCCTTCTCCTGAAGAATCTTGAGTGGATCAGGAGTGAGGGTGAGAGATGACTGTACCAGCTAGAAAACACCCTGCAGACAAAAATGGTGTCTTGTTTCTCTGTGGGTTTCACAGGGCACAGGCAGGACCTCCACATTATTGGGTAGGTGAGTAGATGAATGTATGAAGCCTGTAAGTGTTGCCAGGTCTAAAGTCAGAATAACAACTAAAGATGGGTCTCTATGGTACTAACCCCTGACATTTTTGGAGCATTTTACATTGTACAAAACACTCTGCCCTCCTCCTGTGGAGGCAGCAGGGAAGCATTTTTGAGTGGGTCTGCTCGATATTCTTCCACTGTACCTCTACTAGTGTGAGATAAGATCATTCAAGGGTGACTTTTTCTTCAGGCACCAAGATAGGAATTGGATATGAGGTGTCTCCCAAAAGCTCATGTTGAGACAATGCTTCCTGGCTGCCATGAGCAGAGTAATGTCCTTTGCCAAGTTCTTATATGACATGATGCCTCATCCAAGCCCAGAGCAATGGAGTCAGCCAATCATGAACTGAAACCGTGCACCAAAACACACCTTTCCTCCAAGTTCTTCTTGTCAGGAACTTTGGTCACAGCCATAAAAAAAAGGCTAACAAAAGGACCTTCTTGAGTGGTTCTCAAAATGAGGACCCCAGTTCAGCTCTGGCATCTGCATTACTTGGGAGCTTGTCAGAAGTGCACATTCCTAGGCCCCATCCTAGACCTCATGAATTGAAAACTCTGGTATTGAAGCCCCAAACTTTGTTTTCCTTTTAATTTCCTGGCAAGCTCTCCAGGGGATTCTGATGCTAAGTCTGAGACCCAATGGCCTGTTCTATTTCCAACTGATTTATGTGGTTAAATTCGTAAATGCTGTTCCTCAGAATTCAACTGGCATGGCCCATTCGTTCTCTAGAGGGTGAAAGTAAACAACTGAGTTTACAAGTTCCGGGAGGCGATAATGGAAAACACGATAAATGCCTCTAAGAGTGGGGCATATGCTCTCATCCTATACAGACATAGATAAAGAATTCATTAGGTATTACCCCAGGAAAGGCCCCCATTCTTGGATTTCAGGAGGTATAAACCCAGCTTCCTCAACACCGGCCCACGTGCCGGCCTCCGCCTTCAGGCTGGGAGCAGGGTCTAAGGAGGGCACGGAGAGCCCGCTGGAATTCTCTACCAATCAGGTGCCCTCGGGAGAAAACTACAAGTCCCAGCATGCCACACGCGCACTGTTAGGAGACTCCTGGCTTCGCCCCAGAATTCTTCGCGCCAGGTGGCAGGCTTGACTCCGGAACCTCAGCGTAGGGGCCCGAGAGCCCTCCGCCCGGAAGGCTATGGGGGTGGCTACTGCGACGGCCCTGTTGGCCGCACTGGGCGGGGCACTGTGGCTGGCGGCCCGGCGGTTCGTGGGCTCCAGGGTCCACCGGCTGCACGGTGGCGGGGACCCCGGCCTCATGCACGGGAAGACGGTGTTGATCACCGGGGCTAACAGCGGCCTGGGCCGCGCCACGGCGGCCGAGCTGCTGCGCTTGGGGGCGCGGGTGATCATGGGCTGCCGGGACCGCGCGCGCGCCGAGGAGGCGGCCAGCCAGCTCCGCCGCGAGCTCTGCGAGGCCGAGGGTCCCGGGCCGAGCCCCGATGTCGGCGGAGCGGGCGAGCTGGTCGTCAAGGAGTTGGACCTCGCTTCGCTGCGCTCGGTGCGCACTTTCTGCCAGGAGCTGCTCCAGGTGTGCGTCTCGCGGAGTCGCGCCGCCCGGGCGGAAGGCCGGCCGAGCCGCGCTGGGCGGGACGGGGCGGGGCCGAGGGGCCGGCGCCGAGGAGCTGGCTGGAGTCCGGGGTGTGACCTTGGGGATGGCTGAGGTTCCTGGCAGGAGCAGCCACTGAGCCACCAGCCGAGGAGGGGCAGGCTTGAGAAAGAAGGGGAACTGCCTGCTGAGGATGTTAAGAAATGGGCCCCGGAGGAAAACCGTGCATAAGCCAGTTTCTGAACATTTCATTTTATTATGTGAGGATGGCCCAGGAGTCATCCCCTGGTCTCTGAATTGTTTTTCCTGTGTCATAAGTGAATGTGTGCCAAACCATGCCTTCTGTTACACAGAGCCTGAGAGCACTGGAAGAGGGTTGCTAGCCAAGAGGCTTAGACCAATGCTTATTTTCCACACCCGTTTTGGGTTTTTTTTCTGCTATCTAAGGGAATGTCACTTGTTGTTGCCACCGATGAACTCATTAATGCCATCCCTAACCAGACTCTGGCATGCTTTTCAAATAGAATGGAGCTTGAAATCCTAGTGATCGTACTTCAAACAGGAATAGAAACTAAGAATAATACATCTTGCATTATTGAGGTTAATTGTATGCCAGCATAAGTACCAAGCATTTTATGTACTTTCAAAAAAACAACTGTTAAGTGAAAATAAAATGCCTTTGGCTTTTGTCGTCATGGAATCTTCACAGCAACCCTGTGACACAGGAATTATCTCTATTGTATGTGAAAAATTAAGGCATAGAAAGGTAATGTAGCTTAACCAGTGGTCTGTCTTCATAGCCTATATTTGGTCACCTATTGTATACTCTTGCCTGCTGGACAGTGAGGGATGAAGCTATCTTTGGGCAGGTGGTAAATGTTCCACTAAAGTGGAACCTTCTGATGAGACTGAGACTGTTGCAGAGGTGATCTGCCAGAAGGCATTCAAAAGGGAGGATTTAAAGGTTGCTGTCACAGAAATGGCCCTGTATGAAATGAGTCTTTCAGGCTAAAGCAGAGGTTCCTAAATATAATAAATTTTTCAAGATGCCCTTAAGCCAGAGAAATGTCTTCAAGGTCATGGGGGATGTAGTTAGATCCAGACAACCTAATAAATATTTATGTCCTAGCAGTTCAGTAACTGTTTAAAATGTAATCTACACAATTCAAAGAAAAAATATTTCATTTTTAGCCATAATCTTTAATGGAAAGTGTGTGCCTGTTGATCACTACACCAATTTCTCCAACTTTGGGATCAGATTGGATACAGCTACCCTTGCTTCCTGTTCTACATAACTTTTTAGCCTTGCACTTGCAATTTATTAGAGAAGCTGCTAAAAAGTTCTAAAAACTCAGCTCCACAAGAAACGATCTCCTCAAAGGAGTAGAATACAATATAATGTTGAAACCTTAACTACCTGTAGTAACTAGCTTTTAGGTATTGAGCAGAGTAGCATTGCTTCTTTCAAAAATTTAAAATATTCCACAGCACATCCTGTGGGTTTGTACCCCCCATGCTCTAAGATCATCTTGTTGCAGTGTGGGAACTGTTTCTCCCAGGAGTTAGGTTTTTTGTTTGTTGTATTATTGCTAGTATTTCATCATAATATTCTAGATAAGAAGTAATCACCATCTTAGAAATTTTGAAAGCATTATAAGTGTAAATGGGATTGGTGATTGATAATCACACACACACACACACACACACACACACACTCATTCATTCCTAATACCTCTGTTATTTTGACATCTTGAGGCAGAACCAGTTTAAAGGTAAGGACAAGGAGATGACAAAGTCGTCATCCTTGCTTCTAAGCATTTACCTTTCTGCCTGCTTCTGAAGGAAGTCTGGTGACTATAATTAAAAGTGTGTGGGGGGGTGGAATTGTAGGCGTCCCACAGGTTGGTTGGTATTCTTGGTATTTATCTCATTTATCTTCTAGAATTAAAAAAAAAATAGTAAATGATGAAGTCCTAAAATAACACTATCTCAGCAAAGAAGGATGGCTCAGAAATGATTAATTCAGGAAATCTTTCCAAAGGATTAGTGAAAAAGAACATTCCTTTCTTTCCCCCATGGGTGAACTCTTGCCTTGTTTTTGAAGTTGACTATTGGAAAATGAAAAGATTCTTAGGTTAGAATGAGAAATAGTTAATCCGCTGACAGGTAGGCTTTGATAACACTTGTGAAATTTAACGTTTTTCTTTTCACTTAAACTTGGTAAAAAAGCCAGTGAAACATGAAATTTGACCTAGAATTGATTTAAGCATGGGTCATCCCTTTGTCTTTACACCTGGAACATGTTGTACATTTCTTTTTTCTCTGTCCAGCAAAAGAAAGAACTCAAGAAAGGCAAGAAAAGACCATCTTAAATGGTTTAGGAAATGAAAAGACTTCTTATGAGAACAGTCTAAATTTTAGGTCTTTGTAGAAAATGCAGTTTCTAGAAAATATGGTCAAGGTACAGAATTCTGACTATTCACATCTCCTAAATTAGGGGCTTCTTGAAGTTTAAAAAAAGTTTTCATATAAGGAAAAAAAGAACTGAATTCCACCGTTGTGTTGGAGGTTAAAGGTGTTTGTTGATCCTATGGCCCCCACCCTTTTGTCTCCTTCACTGTTGTGAGACTTGTACTTATGAGTCACTGTGTTATATATTTTTATATTACCTGCTTAATTTTTGTTCTTACTCTTTGATATATTCATGACATTCTGTCAGGTGTTAAGTTTCCATCCCTGACCTCTGTTGCTTGTCCTAGTTTTAAGGAAATGCCTGAGGTCATTCTGTTCCCAAGGTGCCATTTACACTTGGGAGAAATACAGTGTAACACATCTGAACTTGGCTCCTAATGTCCAGTAGGTCTGGGAATAAACTGCTGACTATTTCTAGTTTACTCACTGTAGCTATGCTTCAAAAATCCCAATTAGAAAGCCAAACTACTTTAATAATTAAGAGAAGGGACTTTACCATCAAAAGATTTTATCTTCGGGTGTGATTCTTGGTTTTGTTGCTTGTGAACTCTGTGACACTAGATAAGTCATCCAGCATCTGTGCATCAGTTTGCTTATAGGGTTATAAAAAGAAAATGAGGTTTCATATGAAATGCTGAAATCAAGGCCCCACTAAGGATGAAAATAATTTTATTTCCATTTCTCTTTCAGTTGTTAGAAGTTCATAGAAAAATTTTATGGAATTTTAATATTTTCCAAGAATTTTTAAAAATTTTATCATAGGTACACTTACAGTGATTTTGATATGAACTCAGCATTAACATGCTAACTCCCAAATTGATATTTTCTTAGTTAAACTGAAATTAAGGGAAGAAATCTGGAATCATAGGAGTATCTAATCTCCAAATATATTTCTGTTTTTAAGAAAGACGTTGGTATGGATCAGATAATCAACTTTCTAATGAAACCAAAGTGTGTGTGTGTGTGTGTGTGTGTGTGTATGTATGTGTTATTGTTATAAAAGCATAAGACCAGAAATTCAGGTCTTAGATTTAGTTTCTACAGATTTTCTCTTACTGACAGATTACTATGAATAAGTGTTTTCATATTATTTAAGTGAGAAAAAGAAGTTGTGGGGTGAGATTATGAATATCAGTATTGAATTGAGGAAATTCCTCCAGAGGAAATTCTCTGGCCATGAAAAACAAAATTGTCAGTATTCAACTAGCTCTCTGATCCATAGCCCAGAAACGTGTTTTTAGTCTCAAGTTCTTTTTTTTTATTAAAACATATTTATCGTGAACAGGAGGAGCAACTGGAAGCCTATGTTCATAATTCTGCCATTCTCTTTTTATATGTGAAGGAAGAGCCTAGACTGGACGTCTTGATCAACAATGCCGGTGTCTTCCAGTGCCCTTACACCAAGACCGAGGATGGGTTTGAGATGCAGTTCGGGGTGAACCACCTGGGGCACTTCCTGCTCACCAGCCTGCTCCTGGGACTCCTCAAGAGTTCAGCTCCCAGCAGGATTGTGGTCGTTTCTTCTAAACTTTATAAATATGGAGAAATCAACTTTGAAGACTTGAACAGTGAGCAGAGCTACAATAAAAGCTTCTGTTATAGCCGGAGCAAACTGGCTAACATTCTTTTTACCAGAGAATTAGCTCGCCGCTTAGAAGGCACAAACGTTACTGTCAACGTATTGCATCCCGGCATCGTGCGGACTAATCTGGGGAGGCACATTCACATTCCACTGCTGGTGAAACCACTTTTCAATTTGGTGTCATGGGCTTTCTTCAAAACGCCACTAGAAGGTGCCCAGACTTCCATCTACTTAGCCTCTTCACCAGAGGTGGAAGGTGTGTCAGGAAGATACTTTGGGGATTGTAAGGAGGAAGAACTGTTGCCCAAAGCGATGGATGACTCTGTAGCAAGAAAACTCTGGGATATCAGTGAAGTGATGGTTGGCATATTAAAATAGGAACAAGGAGTGAAAGAGCTGTTTATGAAATATATCAGTTATATCTGTGATCAGGAATGGTGTGGCTTGAGCTCTTGCTACTTGGGAAAACAATTTTGGTTTACAATAGTACTGCTAAGAAAATACATGGGAATATTTTCAAGGTACTGAAAAGGTTATTTTCGGGTATCAAATTTTGAGCAAACACGTTTTAAATGTATGAGTATAATGAATGCAATTATATTTTAAAAATTATAATTGGACAAGCAGATTTTACAACTGCTTAAGAATTGGTTACTTAAAATAGCTATCTTAAGATGTATTTCAAATATCTTTGTGCTTCATGGCTAAAGAGTTAAAAGTGTTCACTACTATGGCTTTTGTGTGGCAATAATATGCCCGGTGTGTACACATAAATAAACTTACTGATGCAGATTTTTCACTTGTATTTCTTTATAAGTGACACTGAATGCAGTTCTTTGTCCTGTCCTTGTTAGCCTATCTGGTCTTGTTAAATCCAGTCTCCTTTTAGCATACCTTGCACCCTGCTCTCAGAAGTGATATTAGTAAAACTCAAATCTGTCATGGCTTCACATCCCTGCTTCAAGACCTATGATGATTTTCTTTTCGTTTTTGGGGTCTTTTTGTTTGGTTGGTTTTAACTATAGAATTCTTTCTTCAAAAGAATTTTACTCAAGAAATTGGGAGGATCAAACAAGCTATAGTAAAGTTGCAGGATATTGTCCCCCAAGGCTATTCTAAAAGGGCCTTTGTTAAATATAGCAGTTTATATAATCTTATTTAATTCTTTAGTATACATTTGAGAGTCTCCATGAACTAGGGACAGACTTGCCATATATAATGGAACTTACTGCAATAATAATGGAAAGATTCTGTACAGTTCAAGAGGATAGACAAAAGATGTGGGGTACTGAGTACTTGAAGTATAATTGAGAACTGAATTTCTGATCTTAATGTTTATTTACACAGGTACATTTCTAGTGACTATTGTTTTGAACAGAATATCTTAGTCATTCCATTGGATAACTCAGTCCTGAATATAGAAGAGTCTCTTGCCTCTGGGCCTTTCATTATGTTCTTTCATGCTGGAATACCCTCTCTTTTTCCTTGGGGACTACTACTTAACCCTTAGGTGCATCTCAAGTATGCTTTCTCCAGTCCTTGTAGGCAGAAACAATTCTCTTCCCACTTTGTTTCCTTTAGTCTTTGTACCTTTGCCTAAAGTGCACTAATTATTCATTCATAAATCCAGTTAGACATTTAGAATATGAATTCTCCAAAGGAGGATTTATGTTGTTATTAGCTTTTCCCCCTTGAAAAATCATAGGATAGTATCTAATAGGGAGTAAGAAAAAAGATGATGAGTGTGCATAAAAGTAGCTGAGCCTAAAAAGGAATATTGTAGGCATCTGTGTTATAGCATCACAAGTATGGACTGTAATTGCAGTTGTCTTGCCATCTCCTGATGTTAGAAAAAGGAATTATGATATAGATAAGGAGCTCCATTGATTTTTAATGACCATTTGGCTTGGACTAATCCTTGACTGGTTATTATTTTTAAGGCCATTTCTAATACATAGTTACCAGTATCAGTTATTTTCAAGAATGGCAAGATCTTGGCAGATCACACAGAAAGTCTGTTTTCTGTTAGAGCATTATGCTGTGAATGCAAGAAACTGTTTCTATCATCACAGGTGTGTCTCTGCAGGTGTAGCTGCATCATGTTCTTTAAAACACTATTTTAAAAAGTAATTCTACAAAGAGACCTGCTGAACTTGGAAATGTGGGCAGGAAATACACACAATGCAACTTGGAAAAATGGAAGCTAATAAATCTGTCCTACACCTCTACTTCATTAAAAAGGAGCCTCTTTTTTTCATTTAATACCATCTTTTCTGGCTGCAGTTTGATACCTGATGCTTTTCAGGGGATTTGGGCCTTTTGAGTCTTTCAGAGGGCTTGTTTGTGGCACCACAATAAAATAGGATATATTAATTTATCATGATGGAAAACTAAAAACTTGTCTGGGAATACCAACTATTAAAGTAAAATGAGCTGCCATTAGGAAGATGTCCTTCCCACCACTGGGTCCATTGGAATTCAGGACAAATAGCGCCAGTCTGACTAGTTAGATTTCAAAGACTTCCAGCCCTTTGCTTCTCTGCTTTCTCTCTTACACTGACTCACTTCTAACCCTTTCACGAAGGAAAGAAATAGGCAAGAGCTCTTTACTTTGATACTTACTTACTCTGACCCTCAGCAAAGTATTCCCTGTATGTTGTCAGATAATTGAAGAAATAGAATTGAAAACCTATTTTTCATGCTGATTTTTGGCTTCATTTTTTGAAAAACTGACTTCTATTGCAAGCAGCTTGTTCTGAGATGGGGTGAAGTTGCTGAGCTTCTGCCTCAACTTCATGCAGAGGAATTATGTTATATAGTGGTGTTCTAAGTAGCATTTAATTAGAAAATAGGTTTCACTTATGTATTTTTACTGGTGTATTATAATTATACATAATAGTGGAGTTCATTGTGACCAATTTGTACATGCAAAAAACCCATTGGGCTTAATTGACAGCTCCCCAACTGAACTCCCCTAGTGACCTTGGCAAGTTACTTCATTTCTGAGCATTTTTTTTTTTCTTGGCTCTATCACTGAACTATGAAATGCTTACTTTAAAGGATTACTCCGTGAATGAAAATGACAGAGAACTTAAAGCATTTAGAAAAAGTGTTTGGCTCCTATGGCATATTCATTTCTTCTTTCCTCCTGCACCTGATCATTACTGTTCATAATAATTTGCAATAGTGATGGTTAGATGAGTACTCGAAATAGAAACAAAACTCTTAATGGAAGATCCAGCCAATATTTTTTTTTTTTGTCAAAAGCCAGGTTGTAAATATTTAAGGTTCTGTGGGTCAGACAGAGTCTGTGTGACATATTCTTACATATTGTTCTGGGTTTTTTTTTTTTTTTTTACAATATTTTGAGAATGTAAAATCCAGTCGGAGCTAGTCTAGGCTGTCCCATTGTACTTATGCAGCTAGTAGTCTTCCAACTTGGTGCTTTCATTTTTTGTTTGTCCTCAAGAATGGTGTGTGATAGTAGTTGTTGTGTGTATAGCAACTCCTCTGACTCTAATGCTGCTGTTCTTTTTCCTTATTTCTAATCTTGTACGACTATTTGCTTGCAGACCAGGAAGTCTGTATTTTTAAATATATCTCCAGATATACATTCTGGTGTGAGGAATAGCAGTTATCTGCCTCCAACTCCCTCTTCTGACAAACCTGCTGGGCCTGGCCAGAGATCTGAGAAAATCTGTATTTAAATATTTAATTGATTCCAAATGTCTTAAGGAACACTGAAGAGAGAACATGTTACTAATCACCCTCTAAGAGCTTTGTCCCTAAAGAGAGCTTCAGATGTTTCACAAAACTACGGATGATGGGGAGTTAAATTAGCTACAGGTTAACATGGAGGAAGGTATTTAATTTCTAGAGGAAATTTAGAAGGTGTACTCAGTTTTATGCAGACAGTAAGGAAGATATTTTGCTAAGCCAGATGTTTAGTAAAAGTACAGTAGAATCACACAAGCGATCTCCATCTAACAAACATGCTGTAATAACTGATTCTCCATTCTTTTTGACAAATATATTGACTGTTGTCCTGTAACATGTGAATATTCTAGGCTGATGGGCTCTTCTATATGACATGTCCACCTCTGTGCATCCTCCTAATCTATTAATGTACTTAGGAAGAATAAGCTGTGTACCATTCATTTATTCCTTTAACAAATATTAGAATACCTGTTATATACCAGGCATTATCCTAATGTCTGAGGATACAGGAGACAAAACAGAAACTCAGACCAACATGGGTATGTAATAGCTGTGCTTGTTATTTATCATCACACAAGTTAGTAATCAGTACAAACCAATGAAATATGAATCCAAACAAGAAGAATGTCTGAAAAGTAAGCTAAGTGTTCTGCCACATATAAACGAAGGCACATTTCTAGAAATTTATTGTGAAAAAAGTTTCTAACCTTCATATATTAAAAATAAGTATCATAAAAAAATAAAAGAGATCAGCATTTCATCCTTCACAAACAACTTCAAGCTCATTTAAAAAACATAATACCTGGAAATCATAGACTGTACTATTAAGAGTATAGTGTAAGAAGATGGAATTCCAACTAAATCTATGCTCAGAAAAAACAACCAAAGATGGCAAATAAACCCTTAGCTTTAGATCAGCAGATAGGCAAATGAATGAACAAGCTATACTTTTCAATTCAAATAGCATTTTTGTGATGCATGTTTCATCCTTTCTAATTACATTCTTTGATCAACTTTTTCATGTAACCAACCAATTTCAAATAGGCTTCTATTGTATAAAATAGAGCTATCATTTGCATTTCAGTTGAGTTTCAATTTGGAAGAACTGGAGACAAATATTTTCTGTGCAGTGAATCATATTTCTCCAAAGACTTCTAAATTAAATTTGAGAATTATTGTATTTTTAAAAATATACCAATGTACTGAAATGATTATTTTATATATATGGTCCTAAAGTGTTTTCATAGTTGGTTCTTAAAATTGAATTTCATTATCAGCCTTGTTTCTCCATTTAAAAAAAAAAGTTTTTACTGGTTTTGTTAGATAAGTGAGTTTCTGAATATTTAATGTTTTTTTTTTCAATGTATCTTTTTAGAAGTTGCCATGTTGTATATGATATATTACAACCTGTCCTTACTTTTTTTGGGTATTTGAGTGTATTATAAAACAATCACAGAAATGTGTTCCTAACTTTCTTTATAAATTCAGACCCAAGAAAGTACTGGTAACTTTCTCTGTTTATTTTGATACATCCTATAGATCTAGGTAGGTATTCAGCTATTGGCAGAGTAAATTGATGTTAAACCCTTCCAATAACTCCCTCTTTCACTACTACAAAAGTAGTGAGATGAATAAGTCAAATTTTAAGTTGCAAATAAACTCTGTATGGACCTACATACATGGTGGCATTTTAGGTATATTTTGAAGATGTCCACATGGCTTGAGGAAATGCTGAGCCCAGGAAAGTATAATGATTATTAGTTTGTGAAAAAAAGCAAAACAAGTTTCTGCCACCAACCCATGAAAGCACAGGAAATGGCTTCACGTAGTAAGTGTCCAAGTCTAAGCAATCTGTTGACAGAAGCGGGTCCTACCCGGGGGTTTTGCCTTAATGTAATCACACTCTTCAGAGCTGCAGCCCAGCAAGCCCAAGTCCACCCACCTCAGAGTTTATCTTTAGCTCATCTGGAAGAGTTTATTTTAAACATTGAACATTGTTTGCTGCTGTTGAAATGAAAGTGAGAGAGTTACAAGCTTTCTTCCACTGCCATCTGGCAGATTTACTGATGGATCGG